GATTGTTTATATTCAAAATAAGCATAGAATGGTGGAATATAATCTAGGCTTTTAGATAATTTGTTTCTTTTTTTTACATATTTCACCTACTTATGTAGAATATTATTTTGTGGAGTTAGGGATATTATTAGTAGTTTACTTTTAGTTGAATAGTATCCTGGGATAAGGTTTGGGAAGTCCGGGGGGTGGGGGGTGGGGGTTTTTGTATTGTGATGTATTTGTGATGTGTTTTTTTTTTATGATAAAAATAATAAATTTAAAAAAAAAAAAAAAAAAAAAATTGAATGGGCTGGAAAACTCCTTAGTACTCTGGATAAAATGTTCCCTTTCTTAACTCAGAGTATTACCGAATTAGCCTTTTGTGGCTATCTTCCATTTAAATATAAATCAAATTTGATGACATTTATGATTTTTCCCCAGATGTTTTTAATCTATGCATTTAAACTGATAGTAGAGTAGCATTTACTCAAGCAGACAAAAATACTGATGTGTATGCACTACATTGAAATGTAACAAGCATGAAGACTATTCATACACATGTACAAAATTAGTGAACTGATTTATTTAAAAATGTACATAAGGAACACAGGTATTAACTAAACAAGAAAATCCACTGATTTGATGAAATCTATTTAAATGCCCCAAGAGGAAAAAAAAGGAGTCTTATTTGCCAAATAAACGTAAACTTTTGGAATACATAATCAGGATTGGGAATTCTCCTGTAAAATATGGGATAGTCCTAATATTTAAAGGGAGCGAGAGTTAATGTCTTGGAAGTCCAATAACCCAGTGAAGGAGCAACCTGCAGTGTCAGCCAACCCGCAATGGAGGAGCAACCAATACAACTCCATCTCCTCTGACAAACAGCATTGGAATATTCCTCTTGGTAGACTGTGGAAAGAAAAAGCAACAAGGCTTAGACTACATTCAAGAATACCAAACTTCTCTTCTCCTCTCAATAGAACTAGTTCTATTTAAGGTGGTCTAATGTTAAAACACCAAACAAGAAGCCTCACAGCAAGAGACTGAGAGTTCTAGTCCAGGCATGAAAGCTGAATGGGTGACTTTAGTCAAGTCACTACCAACCCAACTCACCTCACAGGGTTCTTGTTGTGGGGAAAATAGGAGGAAGGAATATTGTGTGTGTTTGTCACCTTATTTATTAAAAAAATAAAAAATAAAGACAGAACTAAATACAATTCATATATTTGGAAACAAGATTATTCAATTAAAATTTATTTGCACAATGAATACTAGATATATTTAATATTTCATCCAACACTGTTCTGAACTGAATTGTATTATACAATGATCTGATTAGTAAAGTGTAACATCATAAATTTATGTACTTTGTCCTAATATTTAAAACATTAAACATCATTATCAGTGATATTAGAAATTCTCACCTTGTAAATTTCTTCGTAAGTTTCTTCATCAATTTCTATTGTGGTCACAGTCTCTTCAACATCACCCAAAATCATATTTAAATGCTGGTCATATGCCTTTGAAAGTGAAAAAAAGTTCATAAATATTGTTCTCGTGGCATCATTTATGTGGCACAAATAAAAAAAAAAAATTCCAGCTTTAACATATAGTAATTTGTTTGAATTTTCCAGTTTGCTGAACTTCTTTTATCATTCAAATTTGATTTCTATAGTTACGTACATTCCATGCATAATTGCTGGAAATGCTATAATCAGGCTGAATTATTTTTATATATTGGTGGCAATGGTGTAAAAAACCCAATAATCTGGAAAATGATTATAGAATGAAACAAATATTAAAACCTGAATTTCCTTTCCTGCCAGCTATTTTTTTGTTCAATATATTTTATCAAACATTCGATTTTTTTTTTTTTTATTGAAAATTTTTAAAAGTTTTACAACATATCTCCCCACCTCCCTCGAACCCCACCCTTCCCCACCCCCCTCCCTTCCCCCCGACTTCCCAGAGCTACACACAGGGTTTACAATACAATAATTATATTCTGTCTTAAATTATGTTACCCTTAAATTAACAAATCTATAACATCCTTTAGCTCCCT